AAAGGTATATTTAACACTTCATGGAATGAAGGTTTTCTCTCTGTCTCTCTCTCTGTCTCTCTCCACATTCAGAGCTTATATGAAACAATTAGCACAAACATAATTTAGAACAATTGTTCAAGCTTACAGTTGTACAAGTGCATCATGCTTTTCAGTGCTAAATCAGTTTTCAACTTTTTAATACCATTCTTTCCAATGTTTTAGGAATCTTCAAAAGTAAAATTATCCTGCCAGACAACAGTATAAGCTCTAAATCAGACATATCAAACACAAGGCCCGGGGGACGGATGTGGCCCACGAAGTGGTTTCATGTGGCCTGCGAAGCCATCCTAGAAACAGTGAGGGAATGGCCCCTGCTGCCTTGGCCCTGGCCCAGGCTGGCCAGGAGCCAATGTACAATTTTGTGGTGGCCATCTATGCTGAAATGCATTCAGTCTTAGCTCCACAAGGCCGTCCAGAAACAGCGAGGAACCAGCCCCTGCCGTGTTGGCCCCGCTCCCTGGGTGCATGCTGGGGAGGTGTCACCCTTTGTGAGGAATGAAGAAATGCACCATGCCTTGGCGCTTGCCCCGGTCCCACCCCCTTCTGCCAGAGACCCTCAATCTGTCCCACTCCTGCCCAGGCCTCCACAGGCACCCTTGACGCGAATGATGTAGAGCTGGCCATGCCCACCCAGTAGGCCACACCCACTCCATCCACGCCCACCCAGTAAGCCATGCCCACCCTGGCAACACCCACCTGGCCCCCCAAGGGCAACCACAATGCTGATGAGGCCCTCAATGAAATTGAGTTTGACACCCCTGCTCTAAATGTTAGAAAAGTTATTTTAAAATCTGATTGTCAAATGTGATTTGATAGAAGATTCACACCATGATAGGTCTATTCAAACATCATATCATTTAGTCTAAGTTAAATGAAGAATATAATATATTGTAAACATATGTATTTTGTCCACATTGAAAGAAAATATCTTTTAGAACATTAATGTCAAATAATACTCAGTCGGTCTACATATAATAGCTGAATAAATGTTTTTCTGTTTGATTACTACTTGATGCTACTTTAAGTTGTGAGTGATATGCTATATTAAATATTAAAATTTTCATTTGTACAGAGGTTAAATTTAATTATTCCTAAATTAAAAAATATGGTTAGTATAAATTTATGTATAGTATGTTGTTGTTCTCCTCTATTATCTCACTTTTCTTGGTATCTATAATTGCTTTAAAAAGAGGATTAATCAAATGCATTGTGATATAAAAACATTGCTACCTAACCTTTCAAACCTGTTTTCATTTTTTTGTTTTGTTTTTCAGTATAAAATATGTAGTTAATTAATAATCTTATAATTTCTGGAGCGCAATGGGACTTGTGCAGAGCTTACACTCCCCTACACTACACTCACAGATCTCTGATCCTTTTGAACATAGAAGCTTTGCTTCTAGATCCTGCTGAAGAAGAGATGGCATCCAACTGTTGCAAACACTGACACTTGTCCAGAGGATTACAACTCTGATCATACAGCATGTGAGGGGAAGAGGGAGGAGGATCTTGACCCGCTCTATGTTCCTTTGCATAATTGTTTCTGGAGGCAAAAGGGCAGAAAAGGTTCAGCATTAGAGAAGCATATTTGATGGGAAGTTGTCATTTGAAAACAGTTTGCATTGCCTGTCATCTTTTGTTTGGAAGAAAACAGGCTGTGGCATAAAACCTGTCACTGCCAGCGGGAGCTTTTGTGCACCCTGGCGTGTCTATCCCAAGCAGTGGTAACCTTCAGACTAGGCTATTGAAGTGGTTAGTGAGAACTTTTCCTGGAGGGTTTTTGTTTGTATGTGTATACACACACACACAGAGACATATATATAGACACACACACACACACACATACATATACTGTATAGACACACACATGCAGTGGCCCCTCTGCTAAAGGGCCAGTTCAGAAGTGGAAAAGTGGAGTTATGTGTTGGAAATTTATGACAGCAATACCTGAAATTTCTAATGATCCTGTTTCTATAAGAAAGGAAAAATATTAGCTTTCCTATATCCATTTATTTTGTGTGCTAGCTACTATAAGACATATTTGAAAAGGCAGGCACTCTTGTTTGGAAAACACATTTTAAGCACGATTAAAGGATGGGGTATAGAAAGGAGATGTACTTGGAAACAATAGACACAAAGAAATTACTAAAACATTTTCATTTAATTTATCCCATAAATTATGTATTAGTTACCATTATTATGATATATTGGGACTTGTAAATTGCTCACAACCTCTAGCTTCTTCTTGATATGTGCAAGTATATAACTACTGGTATATAAAATTCTCATGGTGAAGGAAAACTGGCAACATTAAATATGCACTGCACCTTTTCCCTGTGTGTGTGTGTGTGTGTGTGTGTGTGTGCGTGTGCGCGCGCGCGTGTTGAGAGAGAGAGAGAGAGTGAGTTTGTGTGCTCAAGTGCCCACATGTGCAGAAATCAATAAAATCCGTCCTTTTTCTTAAGAGACTTAGAAATGTTTTTGCTTTGTTTACATTTTGATAAGATTGTGTCATCTTGATAAATGCCTATCCCAGTCAGAAATAGGAAGACTTCAGCTGAAGGTGAATGTCATTTTAACCAGCCAAACTTGACGTACCTCTGATATAGCTTTGTGGAAGAGACACCTATCGCTTGATAGCTGTGTGAAACTGTTGCCTACAGAGATGGGCTCTTGACACTGTCTGCCAGCCTCAGGCTGTCCGCTTTGTGTCGGCTTTAATTGAAAATTAATAGTTAGGGGGTTGCTATGGAAATGATACCATTGCTTGCAGACAGCAAACCCTGCTTTTTGCGAAGAGACACTAGTGGTATTGTTTGTCCTTGTTGACCTCAGAAGTTCAAAAGCCTGGAGGAGGAAAGGAGATGCAAATATTTTACTTAAAAAAATTAATTTGCATATTTATAACATTGTTTTTATATATAGAGTTAGCAATATATAGGAACTTTCGTGAGTATATGATTTTAAAGCTTTTAAATGTTATATGAAATGTGAAGTACGTTGCTTTAAAGTGGGATGAAATGCATTATTTAAAAAGCATGTTTAGTTTCTCTGTCAACCTAGTAGATAGATGGAATATTTCTTATGAATAGTAAATAATGAAATTATTTTTTTTAATCCTTTGGATTTCATTAGAATAGAATAGTATTAGAATCTATCATTGTACAATTTTTGCAGCAGGAAATTCTTTAAAATAACTATTTGGGATGAAAGAGTATGCAAATTAAGAATTTGATAATAGTGTGAGGAAAAATTCTTGCTAAAATGGAACAAAGATGTATTTGCAATGATTATGTGGTTGAACTTTTCATTTGCTTTGCTCATTGTTCTTATCTAGCATGTAATTAGATATATTGCCATATTATGAATTAGTGAAAATCACTTGTGTTTTATAAAGGTATACTTTTCCAAAAAAAGGTTTTCCTTTGAAGAAATACTACAAACATTTTTGAAGAATAAAGTAGTTTAAATGCAAAGTGGGATGGGGGAGGAAGCTAACATAGAATATTAAACTGTTCTCTATCACAGTGCTAAAGAATAAGTGCTTTCTCTTCCTTTCAGAGGAGGTGGAGAACACTGTAGCCTCAGGGGTTGAAGGTGAAATGTGAAATTTGCTGTAATTACTTACCCAAAATGTCTGTATTAAAGGCTATTAGAAGCAGTTATTTTAAGTACTTCTTCCCCTCCTCTATTTAGTATTTAAATGTGTTACAAAAAGTAGAGGCAGATGGTATTAATCTAAAAGGAACAGCTAAAAGGTAGTTTAAGTTGGTAACGGGAGTGGTTTATGGCTACAGATTGTCTGCAAAGTGTTAGCCATACCTATATCTTGCCTAAGATAAGTTGTAGGCAGTGTGTTCTTAAAAACCAAGTCTGCTCCTGCCACCATTCAGCTTAAAACTGTGAGCATTGTTAGTCTTTCTCCAGAAGTGAAGGCCATGAAACAAAAAGTTGTGTGCATTGCTAAGGTGTAACTGCAAGGAAACTAGCTTGCATTGTAAACATGGGGAGGAGGAGGGACATCCTGCGAACAGTCTTTGACTCACTTGTTCTAGCAAGCTGGCTTTTATTGAGATTTGAGTTTCTGTAGTTCTTGGCCCTGGCACTTTGAAGTTAGCTTTGCCCCTACACATCCTTTTATTCTGATGTGTCCATATAAACATTGCTAGGCTACCTACAGTATAAAATCTTAAAACTCCATGTGGTGTTGTGAGCTGGTAGCAGATGGACTTTTTTTTGCATCTGCTGTGTACAGATTTGGCTTTGTACTCTTTTCCTGGGGGAGAGAAAGTCTTTCTTCTCTGCTAGTTGATTCCTGTTTTTGTGAAGCAGCTAAGAAAACATCTGTGGCAGGCAGAAAAAAAATGACAAAGGATTGACAAACACCATTAGCTGAAAAATTTTCCATTTCATTGCAACTATGCATTGTTTACTTTACTGTAAATATCTTAATACATCTTCCTCTGAACATGCTGGCAAAGAGATGGAGCACTGTGATTTCAATTAAGGTTAGTAATTGATGGTATCTAGTGTTCAAAGGCTGAGACTTGATTAACATCTGCTTGGACAAATTGTCATTGTGAAGTGGTTTCGATGTGAATTTTCTCTCCCGTTTATCTATGTTGTGGCTGCGAAATGCCAGTCTTTAGTTTGCTTATTTTTGTTAAAATATTTCCTTTGGCTGTAAATTGCAGAGCATTGGAGCTTTACCAAAAGTACACTGCATAATAGCAGGCTTGTCCTAATAAGGGAAGTAAGAAGTATATTTATCACCGACATGAAAGACATAAAAGACTTTTGAGATTTAAACTGCTTGCTATTGAACAAAAAAGAAAAAAAGAAGCACTTACTTTAGAAAGATTATGGTAAGCATGCTGGCTCAGTCTTGAACCTTTGTCACCCTTCACGTTGCACACCAAAGACGTATCCTAGTGATTAAATGCTGATTTTGTATATGATTGTCCACAGACGCCAAAACAATCACAGAGCAGCTTGATTTGTTTTAATTACTAGCACAAGATGCCATCAGTCTGGGACGTGATCGGGCAGAGGTGTACTCACAGTAGTGTAAATACTGCTGTAAATAGTTGCCTGGTGGCAGCTTTGACAGTGAGCTAGCTTCTGAGTTTCCCTCTCCTGAAACCGGGCTTTCTGCATCTGGCTGTTTGAATCTTCTTAATTTCTCTGTCCTCAACCAAACTCCTATGAAGTTCAGGCTGGGAAGTTGTTTTCTGTAACCTCTTGAGATAAG